GTTTACAACCTGCAAACGGACGAAAGAAATTCCTCTCTTGATTGGAGGGGAGTGTATAAATAGCGGGAATTGAGAGAAAATAATGGAAAAAGAAAATCTCTTGGTGCTCATAATCATTTTTAGATTGAAATTTTGGGAACATTTAATATTTCTCAACTGAAACGGGAGAGAAAATCAACTGATTTAAATAATGAGAACAATTGCATTTCATTTTGCTCGTCACAATTCTTTTCTGACAAATTTTCTTTCCGTTCCATTGTACGGCACGTCCCACTGCCAAGATATCTGATGTCGATAGCCCAATACAATACTTTTAAAAATAAAACAACTGAGGTTGTAATAATCATTAGTGTGAAAGTTTTTTGGAATTAAGTAAATGGCTGTTAAATCGCTATATTATATTTAAGATGAAGAACGCCATTAATCATATCAAGACAAGGGATGATTTATTCATGTTTTCCCCAATCGGATTATCTTTCTTGTGCAAAACAGTAAAATGATAGCAGATCATTCAATAATGAATTTCGCAGGGAGTGAAAGGTTATGAATAAGTATTTCACTTTAATAATTGCGATGAAAAGTTAGGATTAACGCATACGACCAAGAACAAATAATATTTCAATTATGGGGTTACGAAATTACAAGTAGATGTATATTTTTTTTTAGATTGTACAGTTTGATATCCGTATAGAATTTAATTTCGTGTGAGTGTTTTATTATAATTAATGTAGTCACATCATGTCGAGGGAAAAAAAGCCAAAATACCACCCCCCAAAAAAACAGAAAAAAGATATATAAAAAAGTAACAAGCGAGGAGCTTAAATACTGCTGTGTTATTTGTTTATAGTAAATATATATATATATATAAAAAAAACGACCATTATCAGATTATATTTTATCTTTGAATAAGGTAATCAATCAGACTTATATTAGCATAAAACACTGATTGATTGGTTGTTATTTGCTTTACGTCCAGTGACAACTATTTTATGCACGTTCAGGACGGACACAATCTGATTAAAATTCTGATCCATATTAACTCGCGCGCTCGTATATATATTATGAGGATAAAAAAATATTTTAATTAGATTGGGACGGACATAGCACAATGTAAAATAGTTTTTGACAAACTTATCTTTTCTAAGAGTATTCACCCTTGAAATTTCTTCCAATAGGAAACAATTTGTTTTATCTTAACGAGAAACCATTGTTGAAAATTCAATTAAACTTGTGATGTCATAGGTTTGTGCTAAAAATATTTCTTGTTGGCGAAATGTATTTCATTCATAAAGTATTCCACATTCTTTAAACGTATCATTTAATGTAGGATATATATTTTCCATGCTTATTCATACTGCAATAATAAGAAATGAGATATGAATTGTTGTAATTAATTGTTTAACATCAAAGATCAAACAAATGCAATAATTGCTTTTGAAATAGATATAGTCAATATTTCATATTAGGAAGCCATTTTTCATTTTCAAATGCGCCTGCCTTATCACAAGCGAACATTACAAATTGTTTTAATTCTGACTTTTAATTATTATTAATTTTAACAACTGCATTGTGTATTCTTACTACAACAACACCTGCACATGGAGTATCGACTTGTCCATTTATTGGATTAAATTTGTGTGGTTTTCATGAACCCCGAAATTGTTTCTTTGTTTTACAAGACGAAGAGAAGACGGATTGAAAGATTTGGTCAAACACATTTGCATTGGGTTTTACGAAGAACTCAGTTTGGTGGGAAGGGGAGGGGAAGAGGGGGAGTTGATCCATGCCCATGGGAGACCGATAATTATTTTTTTCATGGCATAAATTTGAAAAAAAAAAAAAAAATCAAAGAGTCCGAAGCCAAAAGGTCCTGTATAAAATTATTGCCTTAAATTATGGGTGCCATTTTTAATTTCCGATCGAAAACAGAGGTTGGAATTAATTATCATCCTTTAATAATGCTGAATCTTTTTACGATGTCTTTCTGTCTGTATTGAAAAAAACATAATTCGTTAAATATCAATAGCGAACATCATGGCTTGATACGTATACTTTATACTTGTTATTCATCTGGAAAAAAAAATATGTTGGGATTGAATTGCTTTTCTAGATTAATCTTGGCATGATAAGTTTGAAAGTCAAAGATGTATAAATGACATAAATGCATTAATAGCAACGTCAAGCGTGAATGTGCTTGATATTTAAACTAAAATCTGTGTCTTTTTGACTTCTTGACCACTTTATATATACGGATGTTGTATATTGAGCCGGGGAAAATCACTTTAAAAATTTGGCAATATAATAAATTAACCTTGATACTCACAATGAAATTATTTCAATGCAGCAATTCAGATAGTTTGAATATTTTAATGACTACAGTAAATCGATCGAATTCAACTAGGTCACGCAATATCAGTTATTTCTGCTTCAAGACATATCCGACATTTTTTATATAACGATTTTGACATCACAAATTATGTTCGCTAGTAGATTGACCTCAGCAATTAAGTTCGCTAGTAGATTATCACGAAGATAACATAACTAGAAGTTAGTTTTGATATTAGAACCGCTGAACTTTAAACATGTTAAAAGAGCAGATAAACATGATGTCTCAACCTGCTTACTAGTACTTGCTTTTTAGAGTAACAGTATCTATGCTATATTTTGACAAAGACCGTGAAGAAGCAACTGTGACGTGAATAGTAATTTGGAAACGGTCGTTAATTCGTTTATGAGGATCTGGACAAAAATAGAACAAAGAAACCATGAGGAAAAAAGAATAGAAAAATGTACAAAAAAATAAACACGAACGGATTTGAACCTGAATAGAGAAAAATAGCCTGCAGAAATGAAGAACCACCATTCAATAGAAGCAGGATACCAGGAGGGTTACCGATATTGCATCTAACGTATTGCATGCTTGTCTATTGTTATGTCTTGCATATTGGTCAATAAATCCGCAGTAGTGAGCAAAGCTTTAATATGTTTACATGTCTTCTTGGAATTGTTTAATGCCGACTTTTACTACTAAAACTTATCTATCATTTAGTTCATGTAAAATCTTACTTTTTAAAGAACCACACTCGGATTCCCTCAACACATACACCTTAGATGATATCACTAAAATGTTGAATTGTTTTTTTTTATCGACAACATATCTATTGAGTTTAGTAGACTGATATTTCAACTTGGGATGTCCCACTGGCGTAGCTTGCCTTCTGTTATAACTGAGGCAGGAGGTCTGGGGGCGCAGCCCCCCAGAAGCTGTTGAAGTTTTGCAATTTGAAAAAAAAAAGAATCTATTAAAAATAAAAGACTTCATCATAATAATGTTAATATGCCTTACACTAAGTTATACTACAGATTTGTGAGTTGATTACTGGTACCTACAACATTTTCAATGTTCGGATGAATACATAAATGTTCTCAATAACATTTACCACTTTTTTCAAATTGAATCCTTCCAGTGAACGTCCCATATTTTAAGGAAATGGGTATGGGGTTTATTTTAATGACACAGCAAGTCAACAATACAGCTGAGAATCCTCAAAGAAACCATACCAACTGACTGACAGAATAGTGGACTTAACAACAAGATTTAAAATGTGCGCTTTGCAATGCAGATATATGCTCTTGATTGGATTTGCTGTAAGCGGGTTTTAATGCCAGAAACATTACCAGACATCACGCTTGCAGCATTTCTTGATTAACTAGGAAATAAACACATGCTACATGTGAAATGCACCACGGCACTTTTATTGGTTGTGTTTTGTCCTGATATTTTTTGGATGGTCTTCAAATTCTTATACGGTTTTGAACTTTTTCCCATTGTGAAAATCACAACCGGTGAAGTATTAACGGAACAATTTACGTTTTTTCTGAAGTCTTCATAATAAATAAAAACAGTATTTGGTTGAAAATTTTATATTGAAACTGATATATATTGTTTATGTCGCTGGAATTAATGACTCCTTCAATTATTTAAAATTCCCTTCTAGTGAAAAAACTATAAATTTTAAATAGTGATAACAAGGATTTGTATAGTAAGACACTTTACTATACAAATCCTTGGTGAATATAAAACTTTAGAACAACATAGCAAATTATTTTCTGTGCATGTTGATTAATATTAGTAATTTTTATTTCAATTGGTATCAAAGTTTAATGAAACTCAATGTACTAGCTGAAGTATTACACGTCGGGGGGAATGTCAACACATAACGAAATTTCAATTTTAGACGTTACCAATTATATATGAGGGTTGGTATGGGCCGTCCTCAAATATTTATTTTTAATTCTTTTTGTCCATAATGTGATTTTCCTTTCTTTTATATTTATCACCATTCAAATCTCTATTCTTTTAAGTTTAAATCAATTCAGGATATTTTCGTCTGTATTCTGTAAACCTCACCCAGACCCTCATATACTAGAAATTATTCTTGCAAAAAATTAATAATTTACCTGAATGGTCAAGTGATTCGATCGGAGAAGGCTTGTGAGTTGGGTAATCATCTATTCTACTGGTTTTGCTTGGGGTAGGATTATATAGATGTGCCAGCTTCAATTGTGTCGATTTCTTTGACTTCGACATATTGAGATTACTGAAAACTATCGCAAAGGGATCGGAATTTCCAATTAGAGGAGGAAAATGTTTCCATAAGTCTTTAACTCGCAAAGGGTATGAATCAATAACGGTAAAAAGACGATACAAGTCGGTACCTTAACGTTTAGTAGCGAGTCTGCTGCTGTGAAAATTGTTTAAAAGAAAAGTTTTTTTTATTTTTTATTTTTTTTTTACCGAGGCAACTGTCTCGGTTGCCTCAACGTAAGCTACGCCAATACTGTCCGTGCAATACTTTCTATCTTTGATCTTATTTTTTATTTTTTTTCATGATAGAATATCTCTGTATGTATTGTAAAATTAACGGCATTTGATTTTATGACAGAGATCTGCAAAAAATCCGGATCAGCGCCGTTATAAAGCAAGTTTTTAGTTTTTGTCACGTGACACACCATGTGACTGTACAAAATGGTAGACGAAAAAAAATGAAATTAAACAACTAGCAACAACTATGAGTGTTTTTAAAAGTATAGCAGCAGGGTAGGCATACACAGTATTTACACCAACAACAAAAAAAAATCACATTTGTTACTTTTATTTTGTTGTCATATTTCAATATGTTTACTTTGTCTTCATGGTCTGGGAATAAGGGTCACCTTTTGAGGCTCTTCCGTTACATCAGTCATCACATAGTACACATATTTATTAAAGCATCGATGATAATACACTACGCATCGCAAACAGACACTATAGGGAATACAACATTTTAAAAAAAATACAAAAGTAATGTTAGAAATATACACAACAGTGTGTACATTCACATATATTTACAGAGTTCATTAATTATTTGAAAACTAATATAGTGCATTTAAACATAAACATGATTAACATGTAATCAACTAATTAAAAATTTCCATTTTTGCCTTGTTAATTTGCTTTCTTTTTCTCATCTGGGTAAATATACATCTGATATTGCGAGTATTGCAGACTGGCATAATGCAAATGTCATGGTAACTTACTCAGTGTTTGAAGCAATTTAAAGAAATGATTTTTATATAGTATTAAAATGAACATACAACATGTATATACTGCTTATTGTGTACATCATACTCATATATATTTATTTATTTCAACAGACTAAAGTCTATCACATCCAGAGACACTGTCAAACAAGATATACCAATAGGGGTTTCAAAGTCAACTGTCAACTTTGATGCTGGTGCAGAACTTCTTGACAGGTAAGTACTGCAAAAATACTAATTACATCCCGGTCTCACTAATTAGCGACAAGAAGCGTCAAGAAGCGACAAGAAGAACAATATTAGCGACAAGAAGAAAAAATTAGCGACAAGAAAGTTTATTTACAATTAAAACAATAGATTTATAAAAAATAAATCACCTGATTATACTAAGGGCCAATAAAAATAGAGAAGAATGGCAGTTAAAAATTTAAAAAAATAGAAATTGACCCCCTTTTTTTATCCAAACATTCGTGTATACTTTTTTTTTAAAAATTTTTTTTATTAATAATGTAAATATTTGAACCTTTTATCATATTATGCCGACTCTACATACATATTGATTCATTCGAATAAAGCTCTAAAACATGATTTTGTGAAATTCTACACAAAAAATGATTGTTACTGGTTTTGAACTTTTTCCAAGAACAACAACCGTGATTAGCCAATCAAAGTCTGTGTTTCTCATGTTTGCATGATCACATTAATAAGGCTATCAAAATCATTGTTTCTGGTAATTATTGGGCATTACAAACAATGAGGAGTACACAAGCTGACCCTCCATATAAAAAAAAAAATCAAGTGAATGTTATGTCAGTGGTTGATAGGAAAACTGGTGTAACATTCATATTAGTCAATTGAATATATTCGGGGGAAAATGAAGTAATGATGTAATAGATTTGTATGCGTGGAAATGCAATACCAGACTCCTAGCGGATTCTCCGGACCAAATATCAAGTGACTGACTGACGGATGGACGGACAGAGGTAAAATTATGTCCCTGTTTCCACGAAGAGCCTCTGAGGTATGATGGCAAGGTATCCTACAAACTTGGAAAAATCAACAACGATCTCCTAACACCCCTAACTTACGCCCTAAGGGATTCATAATGAGATTTTATTTTTTTGATTTTCGGAGGTCGTACCAGACTTTATATATACTGTTTTTGCCGCACACCACTAAAATCAGAATGAGATGCTTGTACGAAGTTATGTTTATTTTCTTGGGATCCCATGTAATACGGTAGTACGGGTCGGGGGCCTTGATGGTTTATGCATACTTTGGCAAAATTTTAGGTTGCAAGTGAGAAATATATATAGACACAGATATATTAAATAATGATACAAATTAATAAACTAACCTTTTCGCTTGAAACAGTATTTCTATCATTCATTAAGAATGGATCTAACCTGGACTGTTTTCTTGGCCGTGTCATGATAAAATAACCAACCCAACATTCACCTACTTTGTGGGAAAGTGAGTTAGGGATGTTTTGAAACTTCGATTGTCAAAGAAATTGTTTATTAAAACTGTAAATATAATGTAACAATCGTTTTTACTTTAACTGCTAAAAGCCTATAATACTTGTCATCAAACACATCACCGCATTTGACACATTCCTTTGAAGTATATAATATTTATAGAACTTAAATAAACCGTAGTTCAGTTGATGAGTAATCAATTCACGTTGGTTCTGTTAAACTTACTATTTATAATATAATTTGAATGTTAAAACAGATGGAATGCGACGACTTTAATTTTTGTCGTCTCTTTAGATACTTTATTAAGCTGAGGACAACCCATGCTTTACAAATTTTAGGGGGGCGCACTCCCGCCACGCCCCTGCCTGTATCCGCCCGTGCAATGCTACCATAAAGATAATAAATAGTAGCTTATGGGCATTACACTTATTGTAACAGATCATACATTGTTGGTATTAAATTATCAAATCATTTTATGTACAAAATAATGTCTTTTATTTTTCACAAGGTCTGAGGAATCAGACAAATGTCCTTCTTTGTCCATATTTTTAAATTTGAAAAGTCGAGTAACTTTAATATTCCTACACAAAAAAATATTTTGTGGTATTCTAGCTACATGTTCATGCATCATTTCTACACAATAATATAAGTACAAGAATTATGCGAATAAAAAGAAGACAAGGGCTTATTAGCTCATCATCAGTAAACCATAAAAAAAAGATATGACACTTTTTCTAGACTACAAAAGAGTGTGCACTAAAAAAAACCACTGCAATACATTGTAACCTGTGAAATTGTTAAGCACTAAAACCCCATGGAGATTTTCAAAATTTGGAAGGTACGGACTTGTAGTTTTTGATATCATAAGCAAGCAATAGCTCTCAGTTCAACTTGTTTTTTTTTTTTTTTATGATATTAAAATAGATTATATGTTAATCTCTATATATACTTATATCTAAGCAGCAAAAATATTACACATACTGTACATGTAGTGTTCAACATGATCCATATCAAGAAACTAAAACTGGTTTTTTTTTTACATATCATAATTTCAGATATTAGCATAATTCTAGAAAATTACAGTAATGTAGGATAGCAAGGAGTTTACCCACTTTGTTCTTTTGAGCCCAGAAGCACTTTGTTTTATATCTTTGTTGTTGTATTTTTAAAAAAATTTTATCTGTCATTTTATATAATTTTTGTACAGTTACCAGGAAATTTGGAAGGAACTCCATGACAATTGTCAACAAAATGCAAGGAGAGCAGAGGTTTGTAAATGATTCACTTGGACTTTGACATAGTACATTAACAGTTGTTCCTAAATATCATTATTAAAAACCTGCGTAAATTCAAATGTATTGACCATTTCTTAAGTATTTATCATCAAGTGTATTTTGCTACTGGAAAATTAAATTTTTTCTTATTATTTGTTAAATAGTAATTTGTAATTTTAATTGTCGTACAAAAAAGTAGATTTTTAGCTCACATGGCCAAATGGGCCAAGTGAGCTTTTCTCATCACTTGGCGTCCGTCGTCAGTTTACTTTTACAAAAATCTTCTCCTCTGAATCTACTGGGCTAAATTTAACCAATCATTATTAGGATATCTAGTTTAAAAAAGGTGTCCGATGATCCTGCCTGTCAACCAACATGGCTGCCATGGCTAAAAATAGAACATAGGGTAAAAATGCAAGTCTTGTCTATTATTTTGAAAACCATTATGAGTAGAGAAAATCTGACAGGAACAAAAATGTTCAGAATGTTGAGCTCTAAAAATTGTCCATATTCATCAAAATTAACAGACGACTTCTAATTGGAGTTATTGCCCTTAAATCAGTGTTCTCCCCAGGTTTTTTGGATAGCACCAGGGTAACGCGTGTGGACTTCTTGGTGAAATATTTCATGCAATCAGTTGTGTCGTGTTGCGTCGCGTCGCTTAGCTCAAGTTAATGTAGTTTTTATGTCTCTTGTTTTGTTTTAACACTGTGGTACTGTGTTATGTTGACATTGATTCAGAAAATTATTGGTAAAAAAGAAGTAAATCAAACAAACAGTTTGTATACTTTAATATTTTTTTTAAATAAATAAATTATGATTCATAATAAAATATTCATCTGAATTTAAAGTAATTAAATCTTTTGTAAAATCCAAAATCAATAAAAATAAAATATCATTCAAAAGAGAACAAAAATGCTCAATTTAAAAAACTTTCTAGTTTCTAGAAAAAAGTTGTTGTGTGTGAAAGGATTTACGTCATAAGAAGACATAAAATTAACAAGAACAATTGCAAATATTGTTTTATTATTTGAACCACTTTCTATCTTAGATTTTGATAAAAAGAAATTTTTCATAAATTTTAAAACATTTTGCCTTAGATTTCATGTAAATATTAAACTTTCTTGTCTTTGGTGATAATCAAACATAGATACAGACTTTATACTGCCCTAAAATCTGAATCTTTATTTGTCATGAACCATTTAAAAAGAATTCCTAAATCTATAAATTTATCTTGGGTCTATAAGTAACCATATTAAATGTCAACAACTAAGTCTCCCTATTTTCCCGCCTAAATGACAGGAAGTAGATATAAATAGATTTAACATGTGCTTATGGATAAAATTGTAAGATTACTTCTGTTATTCATTAATTATGGATATAGATATCCAGTTTGAAGGTACAGTCATGCATTTTATTTATAAAATATAATAGATTGCAATTAATTGTAAATAAACTTGAATATTCTACGTGAACTAACTGGGTCATGTGATATGTACAGACAGCTACTACAGTTTGAAACCCGACTATCATGCAATAACTATGTCATAATTAAAGATAATATTGGCAATGGTTTAATCAGAGACATATAATATAAGAATTGGGAAATGTATAGTTGTCCATTATACGTAAAGAGCCACCATTATGATGTACAAAAAATGTACCTATCGGGTCAAGACACTGTTTGTGTACAAAGTATTTGCCGACTTGTCACAGGTCAGTGCTTGGGTGGAGAGTGAAGCCATAAAATAGTTATCTGTGATCATAAAGTTATGAACTCTTAATTAAAACACAAAAGAATCATGTTACAAGTGTTAATTACATCGATTAAATCCAATCAACAAGGTTAACTTCATAAGGTAAATCGATCACGTGGTGTAAACAATCTGTGTTGAACTGGTTTGAACTGGTCAAAATTAACCTGGAATTTTATACCGCACGGAAAAGATTTAATAAGTCGTTTAAAACTTTACCGATTTACGATTTTTTAACTGAAAATTTTAGCACCACGGAGAAAAATTATACATCGCGGTAAGAACGATACAACCACGGTAAAAAATTATACATCGCGGGCCCGCGGTCCTTTAAGGGCCTGGGGAGAACACTGCCTTAAATGACAAATTTTACCATTTTTTTCAATTTTATATGACATATGGTTTCCGGACAATAACTTTAGTATAAGTGAATGGATCTCTATGAAATTTAAGCACAAGGTTCATAGTAGAAAAGGAAGGTTGAGTTTGATTTTGGGGGTTATGGTCCCAACTGTTTAGGAATTTGGGGTAAAAAAGGGGCAAAAAAAGGTATTTTTCTAGTTTCCGGCCATTTACTTGTGTATAAGTGTATGGATCTCTATGAAATTGTACCACAAGGTTCCATACCACAAAGGGAAGGTTGGGATTGACTTTGGGGGTTATGGCCTAAACTGTTCAGGAATAAGGGGCAAAAAAAGGGGGAAAAACAAGGTTTTTCTGGTAAATGGACAATTACTTAAGTATTAGTCTATGGATCTCTATGGAAATTGAAACACAAGGTTCCATACCACAAAGGGAAGGTTGGGTTTGACTTTGGGGGTTATGGCTCTAACCGTTCAGGAATAAGGGGAAAAAGGGGGGGGAGGGGGTTAGGAACAAGGTTTTTCTGGTTCCGGACAAATACTTAAGTATTAGTCAATGGATCTCTATGAAATTGTACCACAAGGTTCCATACCACACACAGAAGGTTGGGGTCGATTTTGTGGGTTGTGGCTTTAATCGTTAAGAAACTAGAGGCTAAATAGGGGCCAAAAACAAGACTTTTCTAATACTGGCTAAGCTGGTTCTAACATAAATTATTTCTGATCTATATAAAGAAACAACAAAAACTGATATGACAGGAGATACTCACCAAACAGGGTGTGTAAATTATTATATTTAGTTTGTAAACAGATTTACTAAGTATTGCGCAACAGCAAAGTATTGCACAACAGCAAGAAATCTTCAATTGAAAATAAATACAAATCTTTTAACCAATTTCAATGAGAATTAATTTAAAGTCTTGAATTGTTAGAGGTTTTTATCATGTATTACTATATTGGATATTTGGACATTTTTGAATAGGTCTACATTGAGGTCCAAAGGGTCCAAAATTAGACTTTGTTTGATTTCATCAAAAACTGAATTATTGTGGTTCTATGATATGCTGAACCTAACTGTGCATTCAGATTTTTAATTTTGGGCCCTGTTCTACAAGTTCCACAAATAAGTTCACATTGTTGAAATCATCAGCCGACTCCTTATTAGAGTTATCGCCCTTTGATGATGATTTTTACCAATTTTTTTGTGTTTTTGTCTTATATCTTACAAATTATAATAGATAGATAGAACTGAAATAAGCAAAAATGATCAGTAAGACAAGATCTACAATTAAGACAATATAGAGGAAATCATCTGACGTCTCCTTGGAGTTATTGTCCTTTAATGACCATTTTTATCATTTTTTGGGGGTTTTGCCTTACATGATAAAAATTATAATAAATAGATAAAAAGACACTTTGAATAACAAAAATGATCAGCAAGGCAAGATCTACTAACTAGTCACATTTCGCTGATATAGGTAGTAGGCTGTCACTCTTTATAGGAGTGATTGCCCAGCCCCTTAGATAAGGATTTTTTTACCCTCTTTTGTGTTTTGAGCAAAAACTAAAGAAGATAGAGAGAAACTAAACAGACTAAATAATCAGCAATACAAGATCGACAAAACAGATTTTTGTCATGAATTCTATTCTCGTGTACAATGTTCAATAGCAGAAAAGGAAGGAGTGTCCTTTGTTGAATATGCACATAGACTAAGGTGAGCGACACAGGCTCTTTAGAGCCTCTAGTTTTAATTGTACCTACCCAACATGCTTTTCATTGTAATATGAATTGACTTTAGATCATGAAGATGTTATTGTATTTCAACACACATTATTTTGTAGGATACTGATAGCCAGATAACAGAGCTGTACATTAGATATGACAGACAACAGGAAATGATGTCACAGTTACATGAAAGTCTAGTTTCCTTACCAATACTGGTGTCTCATTTACAACAAGCTACAGATTTACTAGGTGAGATCCAGTCAATAGGTGGTAGGGGATAGGAATTAACTGCTAAACTGTAGAACTGTAAACCTAGTGGTGGATAGTGTCTTATTTAAGAAATAATTCATGGGGGCTTGAATATATCGTGATTTTACCACGGGTTGGCCCTTTATGACAAATATTTTACCCTGAGCGATAGCGAGGGGTAAAATATCGGCATAAAGGGACAACCCGTGGTAAAAACACGATATATTCAAGCCCCCATGAATTATTTCGATTTTAATAGGACAAATACGGCAATTGTTTTGGATCAAAGCGCTCTAGATGAAGGCATTATTTGCCGTTCCCATAAATAAACGCACTATTAAATTGACGTAAAAGACCGGAGCAAACTGAATAAATGACATGCTTAAACTATTTACAATAACATATTTAGATAGGTTTGGATGAATCTAAATGATAATTGTACTTATATGTCTTATATGTAAACAAAAAATGGCTTATATAACACATTTTTGCATCGTTTGTTTACGTTTCCTTGTTGTGATGATTTTCGGTTTCACAAGCGTGTATTTTCCCGTAAAATGCTTATATTCTTACGTCATCGTTCTATGACGTCGGGTAGCTCATTCATAAAAAAACATATGACGCGGGAGTACGATTGGAACAGCCGAAACAATATATTCATATTTTACCATATTTTTTTTGTCATGCTTGAAGATATTGACTTGATATTTGTTATATATTTTACACCATGACAAGTTATAGACCAAGTTAGCATTTTGTTCCAGTACAATGAATTTTTAACCGGTAGTGGACTATGTATTGCCAGGTAATACTCACAGAATGCTTGTTATATTTATTCTAATTTTTGTGGTTTGCAGAAAAAAAAATCTTTTTTAGGTAATTGAATTGGTGTTTTAATATACTTCAAGTATTATAAATGATTTTTGTCCTTTGGTTTTAACAGAGTTGTAACTTGGAAATTTTGGTTAATAATATGTAATTTGTGTTACTATAGGGTTCAACATTTCTGACCATAACAAATTAAATAAAAGGATAAGAGGAATTAGCAATAACATTGGACAGTACAAAACCACAGTAAACACCACCACCTGACTCCCTCAAAAATATACATGTAAATACCAAAATAAAAACAACATCATGCAAAAATCATAACCAATCCTAGACAATATTACTTGCAGTGAGGAAAAGTTAAATTTCAAAGGTTAACGGCAAGGACACAGTGTTTGTCACAGCAGCTTTAGAATAAATTGAAAAATGAAAGATCATATCTCTGAATAATTATTAATAATTTTTGAATCATAAATCATCTGAACCCTCTGTTATTCCTTATTGGTTATCTTTTTTTTGTTCATCTATTTTCTCAGAGGAGTTGTTTGTTGATAGTTGGTGTGGTCTTTTGAACTTTCCAATATTTTTGATAATTCCTTTTATCTATTTATTTGTTGTCTTAAATCTTTACCAACCTTTTAAGGAAAATGTCCATTTAGTTGTACAAATTTATATTCTATAGATGTTGATATCAATTGCAAACGGACCAGGTGGTTGTGTGGTCATATTCATCACAGATAGACAGAAATGTTGGGGATTTTTTGTGTCTGGATAATGTCCTTCAAAACCTTTAAAAATGCAGATAAGATAGGATGTTGACTACAAACTGTTCTGTGTTTACTTTTGGTTTAGTTTACATATACATGTGCTTCTTTTGAAGCACCATAAATCATTTTATTTTTATTTAGAGTCTTATATAGATCATACAGTATTAACTTTCTATTTCTTGCATATTTTAAAATCATTTACTCTTTGTTATTTTTATTTTATGATGATCTTGCAAACATTGTATATTAAAAGCATCATTAGAAGGAGAATATGAAAAAGTCAATTCAGCTTTAATACAACTAGAAGATGTAATTGAAGAAAAAGAACTGCTGAATGCACAGGTCATTGACACTCAGAAACTGTCCTCATATAATCAGAGAAAACAAGATGAACTAGAAAATTGTAAAGGTAACTGTAGACACAAGTCATTAACACTCAGAAACTGTCCTCATAAAATCAGAGAAACAAGATGAACTAGAAAATTATAAAGGTTACTGTAGACACAAGTCATTAACACGCAGAAACTGTCCTCATATAATCAGAGAAAAGATGAACTAGAAAATTGTAAAGGTAACTGTAGCCACAAGTCTTTGACACTCAGAAACTGTCCTCATATAATCAGAGAAAATAAGATGAACTAAAATTGTAAAGGTAACTGTAGACACAAGTCATTAACACTCAGAAACTGTCCTCATATAATCAGAGAAAACAAGATGTTTTGTAAGGTAACTGTAGACACAAGTCAGAGACAATTTTCTAGTTCATCTTGTTTTTTCTGATTACATGAAACTGTCCTCATGTAATCAGAGAAAACAAGATGAACTAGAAAATTGTAAAGGTAACTGTAGACACAAATCATTAACACTCCGAAACTGTCTGCCCTCATATAATCAGAGAAAACAAGATGAACTAGAAAATTGTAAAGGTAACTGTAGACACAAGTCATTAACACTCAGAAACTGTCCTCATATAATCAGAGAAAACAAGATGAACTAGAAAATTGTTAAGGTAACTGTAGACACAAGTCATTGACACTCAGAAACTGTCCTCATATAATCAGAGAAAACAAGATGAACTAAAAAATTGTAAAGGTAACTGTAGACACAAGTCATTGACACTCAGAATAGAATCTGTCAGCATATAATGTTTAGATTGAAGTTAGAAAGTTCCTTATCATGTGTTTGAAGCAATGACTTATGTTCTTTAAGAGTAAGTAAACACATTATTCATAAAAAGTTCTTTTTTGCAGTTTTGAAAAAAAACACCATTTTTGTATAATTTAACACAAAATAAGGGATCTCCTTATTAAAACCATCAAAGAGAAATGTTTTGAGGGAAGATTTACTTTAGCTACTTTACCTACCTTCCCATTATTCACTGGTATACCTCTTTCATTGTGAAAAAAACGTACTAGTATATAACATACATGTAGATCAAATATCTTCACTTTTATATTTATTCAACTTGTAAATGTAAAATGGTAATAAGTATACATTTCCGTTCTAAATTTTGTATGGCCACTTTCAGCACCTCCTTATTTTGTTAATTTTTTTTCATTTTATGCTAATGTTTGAATTTTTTTAGTTCAGTTAGCTAGAGACCATGCTAAAAAGATACATGACTATGAGAAAAGAAAGAAAAACATACAGAAAGAAAGAGAAGAAGCTTTCCAGGATGCATTTGAAGATGATCTTGATTATTACAAAACATATGGTCGTGTTGATAGTAAGTTTCCCTTTTTCTTTTGATGTCAAAGGCTCAGTGCTAGTGCAACTTTTTTCAGGCATTTAGACAGATATTTAGGCACAGTACCCTGTATATAACAGTTTAATATATGCCCATGGTTATTGATTCCATCTGTTTGCCTCTTTTATGTTCATCTTGTTGTGTTGTAACAACTCCGTTGATCACTGTCTTCTAAATAAAAGAAAAAAAACTTTCTTTTTTTTTTTTTTTTTTTTTTTTTTTTTTTTTTTTTTAAATAGATACTTGTTTATTCCAAAAAATTTCCTGTTTACATTTTCCTCAGTTGCCCAGGATGCAAACTGGGGATTCCCGTTTACATTTAAAACCAACTGTCCGGGAAGCAGGAGGCTGAAAAAAGTGCACTGTATTAACAGAAAAAGTAGTACATGCATAATAATACTTATTATTCTATTATATGACAATGAATGAAAAAGAACATCTTTCTAGAATGTAATACTAGTAATAAATAATATAACATTATAACATAATCGAGTGCACCTCTAAACCATGGATTACCTAATACAAATTAAAGAGACATAAAAGGCAGACCACATAACATCGTGACTGTTATCTCCTAGAAAACTTTCTAAGTAGAGTAGTTTGAGATGAAAGAAGCAAAAAAATGGCATTCACATTTGTTGATCTTTAAAATATCTTGTATACATTACAGAAGTATCTGTGACAAGTTCAGAGGGAAGTAAAAAGGTTGATATAGCTGATGTTTCATTTGAAGAAGAAGATGATGTATTAGATGAATTCCTTGGATCAACTGAAGTAACACCTGCAAATGAAAACTTACCAGGCATGTATGATATGAAAACAACGCCAAAAACGTTCCTAAAAATAAGCCAAAAAGGTCAACTTTGCCTGAGGAGGAAGAAACCTCAGTATCTTAATTATTTCTTAATTTATAAATATTTCTTAGATATACATGATCTTTCAATAATAAAAATTTATAAAGTGCTCAAATAATGTTAAAAAATTATATTTGGACTTCTTTTATGGTTGATGGCTGTTATCTTTTTCTTGCATGAAGAGATATATTTTGTATCACACTGCACACAATGTGATACGAAAAAGTGATACGAAAACTGTGTTTATTTGATTGGCTTATCCAGCATCATGAGACGAAATAACGACATTTTCATTGGCTATTCGTTTGATCATTGATGACTTTCAAAGGTTAAGACGATGTACATTTCGTCCATGGCAACGGACATTATTATTCTTCAATAATATACAAAACTCTTAGACTTTTCACCTGAAAATCTGCTTTTTGTCAAATTTTATTACTTTCTGCAGCATGCAAAAAGTTTTAAAATGTCTGATGTTATTTGACGCTGGAATGGGACATATGACGTTATACTGGTGTGTGCAAAAACCAAGATCAACAATTTGCAGATTTTTTTTTAATTTTACCCAATGAGAGTGTTGACCATAAGAGAAATAGGTTTAAAAACTCATGATAATGCTTAATATTAACTCTCGTTATTTAATTTAAATAGTAATAATAAACTTTCTGAAAGGCTTGTTTCTTATTATATTGAAATTGAATAACTCAAGTTGATATCAAGCGATATCCAATTCTCTCTCATTATGAAACCTACAATTATTGAGTACCACTTTCATAAATAAACTCATTATGAATTTGAAAAAAAAATCGAATTGTGAGAATACAAGATTAACATGTCAACATCCAGAAGTTGTTGTTGGGTTGCTGTCTCATTGGTGCAAGGCTTAGAAATTGGACACTTGTAGATCCTTAGTTTTAGCAAATCTCATCATCTTTTAGTGATTCATATAAAAAAGATCAGTAAAGTAAAAGTAAAAAATTAATTGCTGTGAAGTTGGTTACAAAGAGCTTAACATGAAAAAGTATAAAAAAAATTATTGGTTTACAGTATTCCTTACATAATTTAAAAGTGGACTTTTATAAATGGCAAATGCTTTGTTTACTTGATTGTACTTTAATATTACATATGGTGTAGCATTCTGCTTTTTTAATTGGTTATTATTATCACGTAAAATACACTGTAAAATACACAGAAAGAACATAGAGGTCCATTTCCATAATACACTATTTACTGGACATATGTAATATATAAATTTATGACTTTCACTCTGGGAATAAGTTAAATATGGACCTGTTCGATTATATTGCACCTCGGACTTCATACTTAGTCAATATAATCTGAACAGGTCCATATATAATGTATTGATCTCCTGAAAAGTCCTTAATTGATAAATATATATTCTTTTTCTTCATTTTAAGTGTACACATAAATACTTCAATTTCACACCTTATTCAGATTTTCACTATCTCACCTTGTCCCACCCATATATTATTTTGAGATTGTTTATGAAAATTCCAAAAATCAAACAACATTTGAATATTGAATATTTAACAGAGTCAAATGAAGAAACAGAAAACATGTTTAGTGAAGATGATTATATTCCAAAGTTAGATGAAGAATCAGATTTTATAAAATCTGGGGATACTGCAACAAGTGACAGTGATGTTGACAATAGACAAGCAAACAAACTGGAACAGCAAAATTCAATACAAACTTGGATAAACAACAGCAGTCCCAAAGAAAAAGGGTCAGGTGAAGGTCATGAGGCAAAGAACAATTCGACAAATAGTGGAGGAGAAAAGACAGATCAAGAAAGTGATGCTCCTGAAAAAACAGAACAAAATAAAGATACTTCTACTGAGAAGTCTTAATATTTGTAATTAAATACAGTGTACGCATTCCAAAAATGTTGTTATTTTATTAATAGGACTACTTCTTGAGAAGCACTCTAAAGTTTATCATGTAAAGACAGATAGACTTGTGTAAATGTTAAAATTGTTTTTCTGCATTTTATTTATTGATAAGGACAAGTATTCTATAAACAAATACTTAGGTAATAGGAAATGAAAAAAACATACAACATTAATTGACCACTGGCTTGTATGTAGGAAGCAACCATTTAACTTCAAGGGGGGAGTTATGGTTTTTGTCTGAGTCAGAAAAATGTTTTTCTCGCAAAGCGCGGACATTTTTTATAGTTTTTCAACGCTATCAATCAACTTATTTTTTCCAAAATTTAACACTATAAGGTATGGGGAAAATCTGAATTCAGAATATTTTTTTTGTCATCTGCTTGACCACAATATTTTTTTTCATCAAATTGGGGATCAGAATATTTTTTTAGGAAAAAACCATAACACCCTTATTGAGAATGAAATATAAATTTTAGCCAATGTTTTTGAATTTCCTTCCAGTTTTAGAAATGGAAGACTTTCTTTGTTCTTAAATTCAGAGCAAAGGCAACTACCATACCTAAGATTTAATTGAAAAAAAAAGTTTTTGCTTATAATTTTCTTTGAAACCGAATTAAAGTATGATAATGCATTAGATTATGTTTTATTTGATATAATACATTAGTAACAATTGAAATGATTCAACTACTTCTTGCCACTGGTTCAGATGTATTCTGTTTTCAGTTGGATATGTTAAAAGACCTAGCTATTGCTCAAGTCACAATTTAGTATGGAAAAATATTTTAATATAACAGCAAATTGTGCTTCTCAAGAATTAGTCCTGCACATCGTTTGATAATGTCAGTAAATGCTTTATTCATAAATAGAACTGGACGATCAGTTAGAACATTTTTTAAACTTCTTTTCGGGAACATCATTTTTTTTAAGCTTGACCTGTACAACCACCCCATGAAATATTGATATAAAAGAAGAGATGCAGATATCAAAAAAACTTACTGGGGATTCATTTATTTTCATGGGTACCAAATTTGATGGTTGAGGCAAACTTGAATTTTTGTGGATATTTGATTCCCTGGTTTTGCAAATGTCAGCATACAAGCCTAAACAAAGTTTATACTTCGCTTAACATTTAAATTCTTGTTGAACCGATAAAAACGCAAAATCCAAAAAATTATACCGCCCGAATAATGATTAATCCACAGTTGTGAAACAACTTGTATCGCATTTATTGACATTGCTTATTTGTTATATATGACCATATTATTTTTCTTTTTAAAAGCTTTTAACATGTTTAATGCAATGGGAACAATGTTTAATCTAGTTTTCTTTAGCTTCTTTATGAAATAAAAAAAATATATATTGTGAATTTGTTCTGAATATATATATCAGTGCCATTTGCAAGAATCTTCATGATAAAGTGCCTAGACAAATGAATTTTGATGAAAAGGGTTGTCCCATGTAGAGGTTAGTAGCACCATTGATATATTCTTCCCATGTTTTAGAGAGCACATGATAGCTTAGTTAAAGACTAAAATGACTTTTCACAGACAGCTCTTGCTTATGGCAAGTGAAAACAGAATTAATAAAAGTTGCAGGACTCCTAGAAGTTAATACTATGTAAATTGAACAGACAGTAAGTAGTGTGATACTCATTTTAGTGAAGATCATAAAAAACTCCTACCATACATTTATAGTTCTCATAATGATCCATAATATGCTTGAATATGCTGGTAAATATATCATATACTTAGTCAATCTCAATGCCAGGAAAAAACTTGATATATTCTGGTTGGGCATAAACTTTTAAGTAAGTGATAGATAAACATAAAAAAGGGGTGACAGGTACCAAAGGGCGGAAAAAAATCATATGCCTAAGAGAGACTTAAACATGACAAAAAACATATGTCTCAGAGAGACTTACACAATCATGACAAAAAAATATGTCTAAGAGTGACTTACACATGACAGAAATCATGTGTCTAAGAGAGACTTACACAATCATGACAAAAATCATATGTCTAAGAGAGACTTACACAATCATGACAAAAAACATATGTGTAACAGAGACTTACACAATCATGACAAAAATCATATGTCTAAGAGAGACTTACACAATCATGACAAAAATCATATGTCTAAGAGAGACTTACACAATCATGACAAAAATCATATGTCTAAGAGAGACTTACACAATCATGACAAAAAACATATGTCTAATAGAGACTTACACAATCATGACAAAAATCATATGTCTAAGAGAGACTTACACAATCATGACAAAAATCATATGTCTAAGAGAGACTTACACAATCATGACAAAAATCATATGTCTAAGAGAGACTTACACAATCATGACAAAAACCATATGTCAAAGAGAGACTTACACAATCATGACAGAAAACATATGTCTAAGAGAGACTTACACAATCATGACAGAAAACATATGTCTAAGAGAGACTTACACAATCATGACAGAAAACATATGTCTTAGAGAGACTTACACAATCATGACAAAAAACATATGTCTAAGAGAGACTTACACAATCATGACAAAAATCATATGTCTAAGTGAGACTTACACAATCATAACAAAAAACATATGTCTAAAAGAGACTTACACAATCATGACAAAAATCATATGTCTAAGAGAGACTTACACTATCATCACAAAAATCATATGTCTAAGAGAGACTTACACTATCATCACAAAAATCATATGTCTAAGAGAGACTTGCACAATCATGACAAAAATCATATGTCTAAGAGAGACTTGCACAATCATGACAAAAATCATATGTCTAACAGAGACTTACACAAAAATCATATGTCTAAGAGAGACTTACACAATCATGACAAAAATCATTTGTCTAAGAGAGACTTACACAATCATGACAAAAAACTTATGTCTAAGGGAGACTTACACAATCATGACAAAAATCATATGTCTAAGAGAGACTTACACAATCATGACAAAAAACGACACAAGGAAGCAATTGCATGAATGACTAGGAAACAACAACATATGGACATAAACAATACAATAAATTTGGCAAAATAGCATATATGTGAGAAAAATATGGACTACTAGAAAGTGTCAAAGGGACAAGTTTTTATAGCTGTTCTGCAGTTAATTGAAGATCTATAGGAGGAATTAGTAGGTCCATAATTTACAGGAAAATAATTTCGTGTTACATTAACTTGCTTGTAGGGCCTTTTTTCTTATTGCTTGTGTTGCGATTTTAGGTTAAGATTGCAAACAGTGTTATCGAAACTCTACAGTTATGGCTTGGTTAGGTATATTTCAGCCACCATCTCTCAGATTTTATGTTAGTACATAATGCAGTGAGATGTCCATTCTTTAGATCATATCTTTGCCTATGTAATTTATTTATTGCATTTAAGCAGATTTCAAATTAACAGAACTTGTACGTGTGTTACGTTTCTTATCATTAAAACTATATTATTGAAAATTTTACAGAAAGTAGTGCACAGTGAACGAATCTATATGTTATCTATTCAAAATATTGACTTCATTCGATTCTTTGCATAATTCAATAACATATAAATTCTACAAAGGAAGACTCTTTACCAGCTTTCCTTACCGAAAAAAAGCCCTGCGGCAACTATTTGCTGCAAGTTTGCAGCAAACATTGCCGCAACCATTTTACCATGCAAATGAAGTTTGCGGCAAGCTTGCGGCAAACATGATTATGAAAATTGGATTTGCTGCAAACTTGCGGCAAACGTTTACTGCAAACTTGCGGCAACCATTTTACCATGCAAATGAAGTTTGCGGCAAGCTTGCAGCAAACATAATTATGCAAATTAGATTTTCTACAAAGTTTGCGGTTAGCTTGCCATGTTATCATCAGATTTTCTGCTAACAAATGTCAAATATCTATTTTCTTGCAATCTTTATAGCTAAAAAAAAGAATATACCACTGTTTCTACATATTCGTTAAAATGCAGACAATGAAGAACTGCATCACTCTTTCACTTTCAATTTCTAATTCGGTTGGTACATTTATTTGTATAATCAACACAAGACGGAAAGCATTTGGAAAATCTAAATTTATTTGTTTTAAATTGTTTATAGGTCCGGATCCTCTGGCTGTGACTCTGGTGCCCTCTTTGTTCTCACTGCTCTCGTCATTGTTGCTTTTTTAGCATTCAGGGCAAAAATGACATCCTTACTGTCCATTGACAATTAAGATAGTGCATATGTTGAAAAGAAGAAAAAACATGTATCAGTTTAAATGAGTTCTAGAGCTGGCATGCATATGTCAGAATCTGCTAGTCGTCCTTTGTTAATTTATGTATCATTGTCATTTTGATTAGTTTATTTTGTTACCTATTCTGACATTGGACTCGGACTTCTTTTAAACTGAGTTTTACTGTGCATATTGCTGTATGTTTGTTTTTTTCTACATTGGATAGAGGTATAGGGGGAGGGTTGATATCTCACTAAACATATTGAACCCCGCTGCATTTTTGCGCCTGTCCCAAGTCAGGAGCCTCTGACCTTTGTTAGTTTTGTATGTTTTTTTTTAATTTTAGTTATTTATATGTTTTACAGTTTAGTATGACGTACATTTTCACTGAAGTCTGAAGTAGTACACATTTTTTTTAAGGGGCCTGCTGAATTCTGCCTCCGGGTGCGGGATTTTCTTGCAGTGTTGAAGACCAATTTGTGGACCAGCTGTTTTTTTAACCATTGGTAGGATTGTTATTTCTTTGATACGTTCCCCATTTGCATTCTCAATTTTATTATATTCATCTCTTTTAGAGTTAACATTTATAAGGAAACAAGAATGTGTCCATAGTACACGGATGCCCCACTCGCACTATCATTTTCTATGTTCAGTGGACTGTGAAATTGGGATCAAAAACTCTAATTTGGCCTTAAATTTGTGCTCGCAAGCACTATGATTTAACATTTGGGTAGCAGAGTGGACGAACAGGTTCATATCTTAATTATAATTATGCTTACACTTACAGCTCTGAAACTGCTCAACAAATACCCATCGAACCTGTACATGATCTTTATAGGGAAGTGTAATATATAACTTTCATTTTTCAATTTGAAGGATTATGCATTATCTCATACACTACTCTTAATTAAGTCGTCAACAAACAAGAACAAAATTTTCAACGATAATAGCTTGTGTACAACTCTTCATAAGTCTGTATTATAATTACATCTAGAAATTGGCAATTCGGGTCGGTTGATAACTAAAAATTATGTCAAAAGTAATGTATTCCATTTTTCAATTATGAACTTTCCATTTCTGTGTAGAATCATTCCAACAAATCATTCATATGGCGTGTATATCTCACAGTTGATATGACATTCAAGGGTCTTCGTTTCCTATCAGGATTCATTTATGGGGGGCAAGGATTTGTATAGTAAGAATCCTTGATGGGGGTTACTGCGTTCAAAGAAGCTATTGTATCAATGATTCCAATTGATCAAGTTGGAGTCTTCCCTTAATATTTTATAGACACCATCATGATTTTGATTACCATTATGGAAATCTGTCACAGATGACAACGGACATGTTCTTGTCTTGTCGTTGCTACACTCCAGTCTTCTTTTCCTCGATCGCGACATTTCGGAATGCGGCTTATCACCGGACTTTTACCTTACTGCCACTCAGTAGCATCACGACGAGTTTCCCTAGTGGAGTAGGAGGGACTGCTTGCCTTTCTGATTCTGAAGCACATGCACGAACCCTGGTTTTTAGTGTTATTTATGTGGCTCAGTCTTTAGTTTTCTATATAATCTTTTTTTGTTTTTATTTGTTATTTCGGCGTTTATTGATTTTTTTTATTGTCTCCTTGTTTCTTTTTTTTAAAAAACAATATTGCAATACATTTTGGGCAATTGATACGCTTGTGGATTTTGCGATAATAACTTTTTTGACACAGTTCGCAGTACAACGATCCTGGTTAGCAAGGTACTTCTAGGGAAATTTTGGGTCTTTTAGCTTTTCTTGTTATTTTTTTAATATTTTTTTATGATTTTATCTTTTTAACTTGGTGGTTGTATTTAGTTTTTTTTTTGCTGATGGACAACGGAAAGCTATGAACTATGACAAGTTTCATCGAAGGTACCAGGCTTTAAAGTTTAGACGCGCATTATGTATATATACATCAGTGGCACACGAATTAAAACAATTTGAAGGACAACCACATTATATATTCAGTTTTAGAGCACTGACAACCCAAACTCAAAATTTTTGTGCCTAATCTGGCTGAGCTCACCTCAATTCGATATCAGTTTTACTATTGTCAACTGTCCTTTCTTGAGTAGAAGAATACCGTCTGTTCTTCTCTATGACGTTTACGTATTTCGCGTACGGTTAT